GACCCATCGCCCCCCATTGCCCCCACACCCCCACCTCCCGGATCTGCCAGTGATAGCAACAACCAACTGTAAAATTGTTAACGGTTCCCTCGTTACAAATTTGCTTGAAAGGTTAACTCTTTGTCATATGAATTAAACCCCCTGACTGGACGTATAATTCTTTTTTCGAACATAAAAGAATTCAGCAATGCTAAGCAGACTGCAACATCCAGGTTGACCCTGGAAGCGCAGATGGCGAAGGTACGAAGGAATTCAAGAGGAAAAAATAGGGAGGCAAGAGTCCATTAAATCATATACGTCTTAACTCAACACTGCGACTGGACCTCGTCCGTATGACGGTAAACAATACGATGAAATTCTGCTTCTGAATTTACTCCTAAAAATATATTAAATGGCCAAACTAATGGGGACCATAAAAGGGAAGTTAGAGAAACAGAACTAAGCGCCCAACAATAGATATATTAAAAGCTTTGAACTTGTTCCTTCGCAAATTGTATGTAATTTCGCACAAAAAACAAACCTTGAGGTACGCTGAAACTGTGTAGTTTCTGCTCGGCCAGCTTCACCCTGATGAGAAACACCGGATCGTACTGCTGCTTGGCTTGCTGCACTGCCACCAACTGCCATGCTACTTGAACTATCGACCGATGCTAGCATCGGTGTATCAGTACCACCACTTGTTGCTGAAAACCAAAAATATCTATAAATTCCGAAAACTCAAATCTCTTTCAAATACATGCAATATCATGAAATCCGTCAGCTGCATGGGCTGAGAACCAGACTATGAATTAAAACTAATCCAAGTAAGCCCAATATGCTGAATAATAAAATAATATTACGATTACGATTGTTTTAAAATTCGATTCATCGCCGTTAGAAGGCCGAAACGTAATCTTAAAACAAATGGACGGTCCAAAAAAATACTGAAATTCACGATAGCAAAGTAACGCAACCAACCCCAAAAACAAAGCGTGAACAAAGCAATTATACTTCTTCAAAAGTGCCCTATTTTGGCCGTTTATCCTTTTTTGACTATCAAAAAATGAGGAAACTAACCATTTTTTGCTGCTGTGCTTAGAATTTTTCACCATTCTTGAAGCAATTCCCGTTTTAATGCAGTTCATAATGCTGATGCTCTTTTAATGCATTCTAGATTGCAAC